TTCACGCATCCGGGTACGTTTGGTATTGGAGAAGGACTTAACGCTAGACACTGCACTGCGGCTAGCCGAGTCCTATTTCAGGGCTGCAACGGAGTACCTCCAGCTGAATCATCCTGACTAAAATGCGCTGCACGTCTACAAAGTAAAACATCCTGCTCTTATCCCAGCCAAGTGTTTCCGGTGTGGCAACAGCAACCACATAGAGTCTACTGGCCGATATCGGAATGAATCCTGCAACAGCTGCGGCAAGCAAGGCCATATTGCGAAGATGTGCCACTCCAGCGACCGCAACAAACACCAAGGAAACCGGAAACGGGACGTCAAAACCTTCGCGAACGTTTTCGCTACTCGCGATAGAGATGGCGAATTTGTCACCTGTCTTGTCTATGGGATCCCCGTTGATCAGCAAGTGGAAACTGGTTCCAAGCTGACACTACTGAACATTGACACCTGGGAAAAGCTCGTATGCCCGTGACTCAAAAAAAGCTAGTGCATCCTGTGTTGTTTCAACAATCAGGCAATTTTCCTCAAGGGACGGTGCATTCTTAACGTCACACTAGGCAAAAAACTGACCTCTGCGTTGGAGCCGTGGTAATCTTGAAGAGGCACACCGACTTACTTGGCATAATGCGCTCAAGATCAATCTGAACTGACTGTTTGTCAAATCCGTTGAACTGACTACACGCGCCACACTGGAATCAATGCTCACGCGATTCTCGAGCGTGTTCACCGACAGTCTTGGCTGCTGCACAAAGCTGAAGATTCAACTATAGTTGAAGCCTGATGCAACCCCACGCTTTTTCAAGCCGAGACCCATTCCGTTCGCGACACGTGTGGCGGTAGAAAACGATCTGCAGAAACAGACCAACAACAAGGTTATTTCACCAGCCGAAATATCCAGACGGGCAACACCAATCGTGGTAGTCACCAAAGCTGACAGTTCAGTCCGCGTGTGTGGAGACTTCGGCGTACCGTAAATCCTCAACTGGACATCACTTAGTATCCTCTACCACGACCTGAAGAACTGTTGTCCAAGCTCAACGGAGGCAATCGGTTCTCGAAGTTGGATCTCTCTGAAGCGTACCTTCAGATGGAACTAGACGACGAAGCCAAGCAAGCCCTTGTGATCGACACCCATAAAGGGCTGCGTCCATTCCATCGAATGCCTTTTGGAATTGCGTCGGTGCCAGCCGTGTTCCTATGAACAATGGACCAAGTCACTGCAGGTCATGATGTGGTTTGTTATTTAGACGACATTACTGTAACCAGGAAGGACACTTCCGATCATCTTCGGAATCTGGAACGAGTCCTCGAGCGCCTCGAAGAATGCAGGTACTCTCTGAAGAAAAGCAAGTGCAGCTTTCTTCAAGAGCAAGTACAATATCTTGGACAAGGGGTTCATGGTGAAGGGTCCAGTCCGTCCCCTAAAAAGATCTCTGCTATCCTCAACATGCCTGAGCCCAAAAATGTCAGTCAGCTGAGATCTCTTCTGGGGATGATCCAACACTACAGTAAGTTCCTGCAAAGCTTGGCCGAGATGTCCGCACCACTAAACGCCCTTCTACGAAAGGACACTGCCTGGAACCGGACTTCCGATTGTGTGGACACTTTGACAGGATCAAACAGCATCTATCAGCAACCAAAGCTCTTGTCCACTTCGACCCTGACAAGACGATCTCCCTTGCGGCAGATGCTTCATCAGAGGGAGTTGGAGCAGTGATCTACCGTAAAGTCAACGGAAGGGAATGTCCCATCGCTCACGCCTCAGAAACACTTACGAAGACAGTGGGGAAGTATGCTCAAACTGAGAAAGAGGCACTGGCAATCATTTTTGGTGTACTTAAGTTCCATCAGTATCTCTGGGAACAAACGTTTTTCTTGTACACAGATCATCGAACTTTGACCATCATTTTTGGACCAACCAAGGGCCTTTCAATCACTTCAGCTAACAGACTTCAACGTTCGGCACTAAGTTTAATGACTTACGCCTACACCATCGAATATTTCCCAACCGAGAAGTTTCGGAACGCTGATATTCTGTCCCGGTTTGCTGAAGACCCTGATCAAGCCTTTGACCAAGAGATGTCACATGGCGTGGTTTCCACTCAATCGCAGTCTGAAGATGTCTTCGCACTCCACAACAAAAGTCTGACAAAGCTCCCCATCAGGACAGCTGACATAGCCAAGGAGACAGCAAAGGATAATACACCCTCTTAGGTTCGCATACACATCGTGGAAGGGTGGCCAACGAAGGTCGTTAACCCAAGTATTCAACCGTTCCACAAGCAAAGAGTAGAACTTGCCGAGCTCCACGGTTGCATTTTTTGGAATGCTCGAACGGTAATTCCTAGCAAGTTCAGGCCATCCTTCCGCGATCTGCTTCATGAGGGTCACATTGGCCAAACGAAGACGAAGATGCTTGCGCGATCTTATTTTTGGTTGCCAAATTGACCAAGAAATCGAAAAACAAACTTGACCGCAAGTCCCTCTGCATCATTGGGAAGATCCGGGAACACCCTGGCATCGCCTTCATGCAGACTTTCCAGAATTGAACCAAAAGCACTACCTCATTGTCATTGATGCATCTAGCAAATGGCCGGAAGTCACGCCGATGACATCTACGAAAGCATCAGCGACCATAGATGCCTTTAAAGAAATATTTCTGCACCATGGTCTTCCACAACAGTTGGTAACGGACAATGGACCTCAGTTCCTTAGTTCCGAATTCGAGTCGTTTCTGGTTCAAAATGGCATTGACCACCTTCTCACGCCACCGTATCATGCGAAATGAAATGGTCAAGCCGAGAACTTCGTGATGACGTTCAAGACCACTCTTTGTCGCGCAAAAGGAAAGGACCTCCGGAAGAGCCTGCAACACTTCTGGATGCGACACCGCATTACCCATTATATATTCACTGGGAAGGCACCATACGAATTTTTGAACCAGAGACACTCTAGGACGGTGCTTGATTTGGTAAAACCCTCGGTTAAACCGTCCAGACCTCCACAGATCTGCCACTTGAACTCGCGCACGTTCGCAATTCACCAAAAAGTGTGAATCAAGCACCCGCTGAGAAAACAGCACTGGATCAAGGGCGTAATTGAAGGAAGGGCTGGTAGCGTGATTTTCGAGGTCTTGGATGATAACTTCAACGTTCGCCGTGTGCATGCTGACCACCTAATGTGCAGAGTGGCATCCGATGCTTCCGAAGGCCTCCTGTTTCCGGCCAGCAAAAGTCCGTCGGTGGAACGCACTGCGTCTACAACGGAATTTCCAACTCCAGCAAGCCCAGGAGGTTCACCCCGTAATTTAAAGCCCATGCCACAGTACCCTCAACGAAGACGCATGGCACCGGAGCGCTTCCAGTCTTCGTAATCGGGGAGATGTATCAGACAGCCAATCACCATTGCAAGGACCATCAAGCAAGGTGCACGGGCTCCCGTGGCTGGCAGCTGGGCGTTCGGCACCGTATGTCCTGGCGTCCGGACATGTTTAGTTTCGACTCCTCGAAATAAATATATTTGCCACCTAAACCAGGTTACAACATCGCAGTGTCAAGGGCCGGAAAATAAACGAAACAACATAAACGACGAAAAGTTATAGAAATTAGTCGATAACTCTTTAAGTACATAAATTCAAATAATAGTAAGTATAAAAATGACATCTAAGGTAAAGGAAGAAATATACCTTGTTTTGAAGTTACAATTAGATAATTATGACATTCAACCATATCTTCGACTCAGAACGCACGTCAGGTATAAATAAATAAGCATAGGAAATCAGCCATACACGAAAAAGGGTAGAGGACGACTGAGAACGGTAGAACTAGTGATAAAAACATAAAACCGTTGTGACATATGACACTAACCAGAAAATCGCACACATAAATACAAAAGTACTTTAACACAGCTAAACTGACAGGACATAGAGGACTAAAATTGACGATGGTGGTCGTGACAATGCGCAATAAATACGACACAAAACTGTATCAGTGATATATACGACGATTCGTTTGTTGCACGTCGCGGCGCCTTTTTATTTCGTGCGCTAATTTTTTTCATCTGTACCAGTGAGCCTACCAGAAAAGGACTGGAAAACCCGCGGCCAGCCGCGGGCCGGCCGGAGTACCTCCACGTGCCGGGGTTTGAGAACCCCTTCTTTAAAGTATGCATTTTTCATGTTAAAGAAGTTTTTACTAGTGGACTAAATATTTGTATGTCTATTTACATTGTGTTACGCTGAGGTAAACATCACATGGATCGTTCGCAGAGGATGATATCCGATAGCTCTTGAGTTCGCACGCGAGAGTGTGTGTCTTCTTTCTTCTCGTTCGGTCCGCAAAGCCGGCATCTGTTAAAGGCGGACTCTTGAGCGGACACGACAAAATGATTTGGGTGTGTGTGTGTGTGTGTGTGGAGGAAAGGAACGGCAACTTAGAAAATATGTTTGTTTAAATAAGGTAACAACGGTTGTGATGTCGACGTAGAGCCGAGGCGGCCGTTCGCAGCTAGTGTCGTGTGCGTCGAGGTCTACAGCGGATACAGCGTGGTGGCGACCAGCCACCCTGCTTCAATGGCGTGCCTAGCGGCGCTGTTACCTTGCACTTGCGCCGATGGGGGCGGCTCGTTGTTATCAACTTTTATTGACAGGTACTGAAAGTATATAGGGCGAAAGGAAGTGCTTTGCTTATTCATACAACCTGAAACTTTATCTCACACGCTGCTACTACCCTAATTTGTGGCCTCGTACGGGACGGACTTCCAATTGTGGAGCGGCGAGTATAAGAGACGAGAGTAGAAAAACAGAGAGAATAAAAGTGGAGAGTGTGGACCTTGGGACTGGAATCTTTGCTCCCGTCTTTGCCATAAGCTGACACTCCCGCAGCAATTCATCTATCATATTTTAGTGTGTAGTTTTTCACAAAATATCGTATTCGCAGATAAGATTTATCTGCCAGGTATATCACCCCATCATAACCAGAAATAAAAAAGGACATTGGCCTCGGGGAGCTCTTTATTCAAAATCCGTAGGGATGGCAGTGAAATGAGCTGTCTTCAAATGTCTCCTGTTTCTGAAAATAAAAAAAAATAGCAAATATGTAACTTGAGTTTTTGGCTGAAAAAAATACAGACTAGTCACCTCAGCATTCGTCAAGCTCCCAACTACGCCAACAAAACGTAATGTATAACTAATTAATTTTACTCTCTAGCACCGGTATGTGTAGCACGTCACATCAGTTATTTATATGCCCTTATTTGCGATCTAGATTAAAATGTTCTCAATCATTAGAGTTCGTAAACTAAAGTCTTTATAGATATTTTAGATGTATATTTTTCCTTGAAGCTGATTCTTGCTTCTAGGTTTGTAAAAACTTTCACCAATTTCGATATATAATTAATTGTTTGTTATCGACATAATTTTTTTATGTATTAAAGGGTCGCTGTTATCTCCACGTCATTCACATTGTATCAGAGTTTCATAGTTTCTATGTAATATTAAAAAATAAGTACCTTAATCTAGAGATTTCACTGTTGTTTTCTTTTTTTCTTTTTTGCACTTTTAGTCCCTACAGAAATAAATTAATAAACAAAGCCTCCCAATAAATCCTAACAAAGGTTTCGTCTTTTTAACTTACACTTCTTCTTGCGGAGAAGGGTGGTATAGTCACCGTAGGTGCCCAGACCGTAACCGTAGTTCAGGCCGTAGCTGCCAAGACCGTGTCCGTAGCCGTAGTGTCCGACGCCGTATCCGAGGGTGCCGACTCCATAGCCGTACACGGGAGCAGCGTGGGCGTAGGTAGCCACGGCTGGGGCAGCGTGGTAGGTCTGGTAGCTGGCCACAGCTGGAGCATGAGCCACAGTGGCGACAGCTGGAGCGTGGTAGGTCTGGTAGCTAGCCACAGCTGGAGCGGCGTGGATGGTGGACACCCTGGTCACAGCTGGAGCAGCGGCATAGGTGGCTACAGCTGGGGCAGCCTGAATGGTGGCAACCCTAGTCACAGCTGGAGCAGCGACGTAGGTGGCGACTGGAGCAGCGGCATAGGTGGCTACAGCTGGGGCAGCCTGAATGGTGGCAACCCTAGTCACAGCTGGAGCAGCGGCGTAGGTGGCAACTGGAGCGGCGGCGTATGTGGCGACAGCTGGGGCGGCATGAACGGTAGAAACCCTAGTGACGGCTGGAGCAGCGGCATAGGTGGCAACTGGAGCGGCGGCGTAGGTGGCCACAGCTGGGGCAGCGTGGTAAGTGGACACCGTGCGGCTCACGGCTGGAGCTGCAACGGCGTAGCTGGCTGGGGCAGCGATACTGTAGCCGGTCAGACCAGAATAGCCAAAGCCATGTCCAAGGCCAATCGCATGGCCGTAGCCAAGGCCGGAAGCATAGCCAAGGCCGGCACCGTAGCCGACACCGTAACCGTACCCAGCGCCGTGGGTTAGGCCACCGTGGAGATAGCCGGCGAAGGCACTGGTAGCAAGAGCCAGGAGGATGCAGGCACGGAGCTGAAACAAGTTATTGCACTTTAGTTCCAAATAGGCTGTTAATTACTTTGCTGACTGTTGACTTCATGTATCGAGGTATACGCAGGTCCATATGTAGTCATAATGAATGACGTTGTGCTAAGTCTTCTCATGGCTCTCTTATGTGGGCATTTGTAACTACACCCTACAGATGAATAAATGGGTTACGAACGTATTACTTCATCAACTGCCTGCTAGACATTTGCTTGACAAATAAAGGCCTTTCCTTTCACGCCCAAATCAAAACCGACTCCTTATCCACCTCCCACTCCTAACTTCTTCAAATTACCGGGTATATGACCACTAAAAATTCGTCGCAGGAACGAACAACCAGTCGGTTCGTTTCACCACTGATTCTTTGGCCGCCATTTGTAGCCTGAGTACATCAAGAGAGCGCACGGCGTTCTTAGCCATCAGAGTGCCGAATCTATTGAATGAAAGGCTGAGGCTTTCATAAACTGAACGCCTCAGTCTTGCCACCGGGAGACCACCAAGACCTTTTCACATCGTTAGATCCCTCCTTTCGTTATTGTGTTTGTGTGCGTGTTGTTTTTTCGACGCAAAACACATTGATTGCTTCTCGCTGGTTGCAATAGAGACGATGATGTTCAGCACTCCGGTCTGTGCACAAACCTGACACAATGCCCAGAGTGTACTCTTAGCAGTGCAGCCTTCATGATTCCACACGAGAATAGCAATTAACACAAATCTTCGCCAGTGGATAAATATAAACAATAATAAACTACGAATCATAATTATTAGTACAAATTGTAACTCTTAGGTTTCTGAAATCGCAAATTGTGTTAAACGTAATGAGCACAGCACTAGAAAAATCTTTAATTACAGCTCTTTGCTCGTTCATCGAAGATTCACATTACTACACTTTTTTGTATTCGTCTACACTTAGATCGAAGTTCCTCTATATTTTAAAGAATGTGTAAAGTTGAGTAGAATATACAGCCGCCTAAAACAACAGTAGCATATTTTCGAGATTAAACTTACTCCAGCCATGTTCCAAATGAAGAGTCTGTAGATGTGTTCCAGTGCTCAGCTGGAAAGACCACAAGCGCTTATATACTCTTACGAACCATTCAAGATTAAAACAAATTATTCTGAGTGTAGAATAATCAGTGCTTCTTTATATAAAAAAAAACACGTTAACTATGCCTACTTTTGCATACTAATACGCCCCTCTCGTACATTTCGACATCCACCCGGTCAGTTGACACTTGTCTCCAGTTCGTGATTCAGACGAATACGGATCTTGGGTTCTGCCACGCCTTAATAAACTGGTTCTAACCGTTATGTATGAGCGAGTGAGGGTATTACTTTTTTTCACTTCTAGCGAATCCGCTGGCTATACTTCCTGCTTAACAATGCAAAGCCCGTACCAGTTGTACTCGTCGGTGGGGAGAATGGTTGAAATTAACTTTTGAGTCATTCTTCCTGGGATCCGGTTAAAATTGACCAGATTCCAGCAAAAAATGAATAGAAGCCAATGAAGGCCAATGAAGGCCCTCGTTTCTGAAAACAATATATTTTTAGGGACACGGAGTGACATAGGTTATCTTAACTAGAAATGGAAAACATCGTAAGTGCACTGAAATCGGCCAGATGCCGAAACTCTTCACGTTAATTATTTCTTCGTTGCCGGTTTTAAGGCCTCCATTTAGATCTCAATGTATATAAACCTATTATTATCTAAAAAAGATGCTTTGTGGAATAGAAGGAACGATTGTGGGCATTTTTCACCAGAGATGAGGCATATATGTCTTTGGCTATTACGGGGCTCTTCTTTTTTTTAATATTTGTGCTCCATTGAGAACACATACTCCATAATGTTGCGCTGGGGTCTTGTATATCGAACGCAATATTGGCTTCTGAAAAGCATTCTTTCCCTTGATTCGCTCAGGGATAAAAGAATAATTCGACACCCTGATGAGTACTCTCGGCTCTCCGGTCACAAATCCACAAAAATTAGAAAATATACAGATATAAATTATGCTTTCTCGGCAAAAGATGTAATACTAAACATCATTAATATTGTTGGGAAATGGCGGGTAAGATTTTTTTTTAGCTTACCTATAACCCATAGCGTAAGATAAACGATTGGTGTCGTAATTAATGTATACCTTAATACGCGGGAAAAAGGCCCAAGCTTCGTTCCAGTGATAACTACGCATCATACAAAAATAGCTTGAAGTCCCACTGGTCGCTGCCACACCGACAATTTAGTAGATATAATAATGTTCGCGATAAGTGAATAACTAAATATTTATTAGTAAATCACTCTGTAAGTAAAATTTTAGATCTATGGCTTTGATAAGGAATGTTCTTTTGCATCGCGGAAAGCAACTGACTCAGCCTTATTTACACAAATATAACGTCCATGCGGAACTCTACATCACCCCCCCCCCCCCCCCAAACCAAAAAAGAAAAGATAAAGAAGGAACACTTAATTCAGTCTTTTTTTGTTCCAGTTTCTGATAGAAATAAATGATTTTGCCAGTGGCCCTGTTGCCCGTGGCCAAACCGCGCAATTAACGTGCGCCTTAGCGCATTCTTCGCATGAGAGAAATGAACCCAAGAATCACAGTCTATTCTTGGAACGCGAACGACACTGCGTAACATACTGCTGCCTTTAGTCATACTTCAATTCCTCGAATGACAGTGTGTGTGTGTGTGTGTGGGGGGGGGGGGGGGGTGGAAGTTAGACGCATTGTGCACGAAGTACGGGACGGCTGGCGTAGGGTTGTGTTGTGATAGGAAAAGAAAACTCAAAACAAGTCAAGATTGGATTTTTTCCCTTCAGAACGCCGCAAAATTCTGTTCATGCCTTACATTTTTATAAATGGAGCTGATCCAATAGCTTTCAATGATGCCCAGGAGGATTGTGTATGAAAATATATGCTAACATTTTAATAATCAAAATTAATTACTCCATGATAATTAAAGCACAATTATACCGAATGTTGCTCATTTTCCTAAATAAGTTCCTTGGTAGAGACTAAATAAACATAAAGCTTTTTTTGTGCCATGTGTAGCTTTCGCAGAAGACATTAGATCTCGCGAGATTCCGTAATGTCCCCTGTAGACTTGATAACAAGCAAACAAGATCCGACCTTGAAATCCAAAAGACAAGATCGCTTCCTCAATCTCTTCCATTGGAAAGATTTAGTGTCACTCATCATGTAAACATAAAAAAGCTTTTTTTTTTTCGTTCATGGTTTAGTTAGTTGTTTACCAAGGTAAAGTAAAATCCACGCGTGAAATTCTACATTAAATTTTCTTTCCGCGTTTTTTTTTATTTATTTATTTATTTATTTTTTTATTACGATATATGTGTGTTTGCAATTTCTACGTTTTCGCTTTCGAAATGTCATTTTTTGTCAGCTGGAATTCTTAATTTTCTAGCGCATTAAGGGTGGATGACAATTTTTTTATTACAATCGCGTACACCTGGGTTTGTTCTAGCCCTTAGTATTTACCATCCAACCGCTATATTCCGCCCTTTACGACCTTATTTATTTCTTTTTTGGGGCTTTACAGATTGGGTTTCTCTTGAAGGCTACACTAATGCGATTTGCGCAGGTTATTTCCACTGCCAGGGTATATAACACAAATTTTAATGGTCACGATAAGCCCTATAACTAAACTTGGTTATTATATTTTCAATTAGTTAAACTAAACATACGATCCCAATTAGGCACTCGCTGAGTGTAATCAAAAACCACTAAATAAGTCAATCTTGGAAAGATTTGAAGGGCGTAATAAGGTGTTGTGGCGCGCTAAAGTGATCACCCGTGCAACCGACGCGTATGGCGGAGCGAAAACGAGGATGAAAAGTTTGTCATCCATGTTATCGAATGGGGTCATTTTGTACATGTGTGTAAGATATTACCACAAGTGTTAGGAATGCACTCAAGCTTCAATTTTTTTTTTATGCCACGGCCCTCTGAAATTGTTGGTGGTTCCACATACCGTAAAGTGTCAAGAACCCGAGCAGGGATTTCAGATATGGACAAGGTCTCATTAAACCCGCAACAGAATGAGAATTTGGTGCTGGTAAATAAGAATCTCTAGAACAGTCCGCTACCGCATGAAGTTAAAGTTCAAGAACTTAAGTCATAATAAATGTCCGATGAAACCCAATCTGGTGGACTTATCGTTGTCGAGGATCTAGCTTCGAGGACGTCGCAGTTTCACCTTTCACATAATCTTCAAAACGCTCTTAATGCATAGTATTTATAGGAAGTATCTGACGCCGCGTAGAATTATAAGGCAACGTGAAGCCGTCATGTCACGTGACACCGTGACGATGTGGTTTCACGTGACAACGTCACGTCAAATAGTAACGTTACGTAACGTGACGTAAGGACGTGACATTGCCACGTCACTTGACAGCATTACATTAAACGACAGTATCACATTGCGCGACGCTGTGACAGCTTTATATATATCCAGAAAACCCTCGTAATGTGCCTTTCAATGACCTCCTTGATATGCACGCAAATAGAGGCGTAAGGAGGGGCCTTATATAAATTATACGCATTTAGAGGGCGCTTGGAAAGTGCCGAATATAATTAATAAAGCATTCAATGCTTTTTAACGTAAGCCTCCAATCCCAAAAGATTGTCCGTCCGTCCGTCCGTCCGGTCATTTTACGCTGGGAGACTGACTTGGCGTTTCAGTCACGCTACGTCAATTGATCTCACGGGACCTTACGTCACGTGATCTCTACACTAATTCCGTTTCCTTGCCAATTCGGCGGGAAAATTGATGTCAAGCGACCTGACGTCACGCGATCTACACACCAGTTTAGTTTCCCCGCTAAATTTAGCGGGAAAAACGATGTCACGGGACCTATATGCCTAATTTACCCACTCAATGTAGCGGGGAAACTGATATAAATAAAGCTCTTTTCTTAACTCGCCGAAACTACACTTTCCGTCTTATATACTATTTTGAAATATTGCACCTTAAATATCGCATTTTATGCACAGTTTGATGATAAAGATCGCAGCCATTTTCTTTTTTTAATGTCACACCCTTCACAAAATTTTGGTCGACACATCAAAACGCATCCCCATCCGCGGAAGAGTGCGCTTCAGGTGGCATCCTCGTCTCCTTATTTATAGCGCGAATACGCTGGTCGGGGTAGTCTGAGGAAGATGTGCTATTTTCCTAACGATATCGCAAGCATGCGCGGGTTGCAGGAAAAAGCAGTCACTGAATGTGCCCCAGTCATCACAATTCCTCGAAAGGAGAAACGGCGGACTGAGCAGGAACCTCAAGGGAAGCGACGACGCGCTAAGTACAGAGTTGCACGTAATGTAACTACGAGCTGTCCCCGAGGTAGATTTGTTTAACTATGTTTTGAGCTGCTTAGAATGTTCCGGTTAGAATCATCTATTACAGTAATTTTTAGTTTACCTTAAATACTTTTTGAGTGATTTCTCAAATTACGACTTACTTTAAAAATGTGTGGTAGCTCCAATGTATATCTGGATCTTGTCCTTAAAAGCTAATCACGGAAGTTATTGAGCTTAGTAAGTATTCAAAAGTGAACTGTATGTGTTTGATATTTGGTGATGGAAGTTGGAATTATGAACTATTTGCCCGTGGTAGGCTATTGAACATGGCTTCGGACCAGTCATTGCAGCCCACATGCAGCGTGTGGTAAGGAAATTGCTAGTGAATGAGGGCTCAAAACCCACTGAATAATATCGCTGACTGTCATGAGTGTTTGGAGAAGAAACTGTAGCACGTTCTTCTCTGTTTGGATGGTGTTAACGTTTTCACGAAGGTTGTGAATCCATCGAGAGTGACCCACATCAAGGTAGGCCGAACACTGCCATTACGAGTGATGTCATAGACAGTGTCGAACAGCAATTTTGAATAACCGGGAAATTTCTGTGCGCGAAGTTGTGATTTCTGCTAGTATGAGCGAAATATCTGTGGACAGTATCATCAAAAATCACCTTAGTTTTCATAAAACTTTTATTTCATGCCTGCCAACACCATCAAAATATTAACAAAAATGAGTTTTAAAAAATGAAAAACATTTCTTGACCTATTCCACTGGGAGGTTCTTCCACATTCACCTAATAGCCC